AAGTTTGAGGCCAGCCTGGGCTACAAAGTGAGTAGCCTGAACTGCATAACAAGACCCTCTCTCAAAAACACACACACATACAAAGAAAAAAGAAATAGATTGGCAGAATGGATCAAGAAGCAACATCCAACAATATGCTGATTTCAAGAAACAGATTTAACTCAAAAAGAAATTCATAGACTAAAAGTCAAAGGATGGAAAATAATTCTCCATGTCATAGGAACTCAGAAAAAAGAGGAGTAGCTATTCTATTTGCAGACAATGTAAAGTTTAAGTCAAAACTGATCAAAAGAGACAAAGAAGGTCACTACGTACTTGTTAAAGGAAAACTCCAAGAAGAAGAGGTAACAATCATAAATATATATGCACAAAACTCTGGTGCACCAAACTACATAAAACAAACATTAGCACACATGCAAAACCAAAAATTTTTCTTTCCTCTTTTTGATGAGGTTAGCTAATGGTTACCATCAAGAAATCAACCAACAACAGTGTGGTTCTTGCCAATCTTGTTCCCCCGGTAGCCTCTCTGCACGGGGACAGCGGAGAGCTCGGTCAGGATGATGGTCCCTCTAATGGCAGTGGCTACTTCTTTGGAACACTTTACACCCAGACCAACGTGACTGTTGTAGTCCCCGGTGGCAACAAATGCCTTGAACCTGGTCCACTGGCCAGCACAAGTTTGCTTGTGACAGGGCCTGTCACCACTGCTTGTCCTCAGCCTTACCTCCGTGAGCCCCACGGCCATGGTCCCGGCCCCTGCTGTGCCCATGCCTCGAAGACCACTGCTGAAGTTGTAACAGAAAATGGCACCTCCGCCAGTACACTTCGGTTTCTTAGCTGCCCAGGTAATAGTTCCTGTTCCAGTTCCGATTGCTTCTGTCTTAGAAACGACTGATTACTGTGATGCATAGCTGGTCACTATGATGCACATTGTATAAACCAATCCCCAATTGACAAGCCAGTCTGCCTCTACACTTCCTGCTTGCTTATCCCATATAAGCCCTAGACCACCAGGGATCAGGGCCTGATATTCTGGGAATGATCCCAATCAGTGCCCGTTGACATAAAATAAGTCTGTCTCCAAATCCTGGGTGTTGTTTAGGTGTTTCTGTTTGCCGTTGCAAAGCCTCTAAGGAAGCCGCCTCTGCCTCCCATGCCTGGGCCCTTCCACTGCATCAGCGTCATCCACCAGTTGGTGTTTTTCCGAGGAAGAAGCCCTTCAGGTTACTTTTTTCCCCAAGGATTAAAGAAAGAGAACTTAATTGTCATGACAGTTGAAAGGGGCCTGTTTTGGGGAATTTGGCTGTTATTTCTTCCTCTCTCTCTCTTTTTCTTTTCTATTCTTTTCTTTTTGAGACAGTGTCTCATTACTAGTTCAGATTGGCTTGAACTCACTATGTAGCTTAGGCTGGCCTCAGACTCACATCAATCCTCCTGCCTCAGCCTCCCAAGTGCTGGGATTATAGGCGTGAGCCACCATGCCCAGCCTCTTTCTATTCTGATTAAGGCCAGGTAACACATAGTTTCAATTTGATGACTTGGCACATTGGTATGGTGATTCCATTGTAGTCCAGTGTATTGGGGCTTGCTATAGTAGCTGAGTCCAAACAATGCTTCCTATAAGCTTTGAACAATTTATCACCCTAAATCAGTGCAATACTAGTACTCACTCTGCCCCCTCACTGTTCCTGCCGCCATCTATGGACTGGGATCCCCACAGCAATTCTTCCCCTTTTTCCCTGCCTCCTCTCAATCTTTCCAATTTTTCCTTTACAGAGGCTCCAGGTTAAACTCAAGGTCCATTTACCAAGAAATGTTTATGGACGATCATGGCTCTTTCCAGCTCAAAACCTTGCATGGTGGTTTATGAAGTGGCCCTCAGTTAAATATTTTGTGGCCCTCAGTTAAATATTTTGTGTTACATCCAGAAAGCATTTACAACTGAGCAGGAACAGCATGGTGGTGGAGTTTCTGGTGTCTCAGAGATCATTTAGGGGAAGAGAGGGGAGCAGGAAGTGCTTGTTTGCCCCAGCCTCCTAGAATAACTATGTAAGGCCCACTAGGGATGGGTAGGAGGGGCACCCTGGCAGCTGGGGCTGAAACAAGGCTTTGTTCCCAAGTCCATGTGGCAGAGTGCCAGGCACGGCCCCAGCTTCCCTGGCCCCCTCCAGGCAGGATAAGGGGGGTTGGCGCTGAGCATCTACCCTGCTCTGTGCAGGCAGAAGCATGCCCGGGTGGCTCTCCACATGCAGTAGAAGGCGGAAAGGGGTGGGCAAGATAGCACAGGAGCCTTGGGGACATTGTCTGAGCACCTACCATGGTTTGGGCCCTGTTGCCAATGTAGCCCATTACAGCTTCCTGCAGCTGGGTGTGGTTAGATTGTGCTGCTGCCCTGCTTAATACACAGAGGCACAGAAGGAAGGGCCCTTGTCCTTGGTCACACAGGTCAGTCCGACCTGTCACACAGGACACTCAGATCACACAGGTCACACAGAGCAAGGATTCCCACCCAGGTCTGATTCCAGAGCTTCTGTTCTGGCCCGATACCATACCTACCCTCTCCACAATTTCACTTCCCACAGTTTGTGTTATCCACAGTCAGCTGGAATCTGAAACTATTAGATGGAAAATTCCAGAAATAAACAGTTCATAAGGTTTATATGGTGTGCCACTCTGAGTAGCATGATGAAATCTCAGGCTGCCCTGCTTCTGCCCACACTGCAGGTGAGTCATCCCTTCCTCCAGTGTATCCTTATCACATCCAATATGTACCATTATTCTTCACTTAGTAGGTGTTTTGGTTATCAAATTACCACAGACTGTAGTCTCACAGTACTTGTGTTCAAGTAATCCTTATTTCTTTTTTTTTTTTTTTTTTTTTGGTATAGAACTTGTGAAGTTTAGACTGGTCTTGAGCTTATTTTATAGCCCAGGCTGGCCTCGAACTCGCAACAATCCTCCTGCCTCAGCCTCCCAAGTGCTGGGATTAAGGTGTGGGCCACCACACCTGGCTAAAGTAATCCTTATTTCACTTAATAGTGGCCCACATACCTCTAATCCCAGCACTACCTATAATCCCAGCACTCAAGAAGGGAAGCAGGAAGATAGGAGGACCACCTTGATTCTGAGCCCACCCTGGGCTACATAGTGACTGCAAAGCCAGGCTGAAATACCTGAACTATAGAGGGAGCCCCTGTCTCAAAGCAAAAACAAACAAAATAACCCAAAGTACAAGAGCAGTGATGCGGGGGATTTGGATATGCCAAAGAGAAGCTGTAAAGTGCCTTCTTTACATGACAAAGTGAAAGTTCTAGACTTAATAAGGAAAGAAAACAATCTTCTACTGAAATTGCTAAGATCTACAGTGAGGATGAATCTTGTGTGAAATTCTGAAGAAGGAAAAAGAAATCAGTTCTGGCTTTGCTGTTCATCTCAAACTGCAAAAGTTACAGCTGCAGTGTGGGGCAAGTTCTTAGTTAAGAGAAAAGGCATGAAATCTTGTTACGTGTGAGAAGGAAAAACAGAGTATGCAGGGTTTAGTACTCTCTGCGGTCTCAGGCATCCACAGGCGTCTTGGATAAGGAGGACCACTGTATTGTCTTCCACCTATTCCCTGCCACGCATTTGCCCACGCTTGCTATGACAATTGGCACCCACAAGTGGGGAAGGGTCCTGAGTCACTGAGGAGGCTCTGCACAACCAAAGCCATCTATCCCAGTCTTTTGTCTGGCCGAGTCTGAGTGTGGAGGCCAGGGGTGCCCAAACTGCACAAGGACTGGGCTGGGCCCCTTTGACGTCTCTGAGTCACAGGGAGGGTGGGTGGTGGCTGACTCAACTCAACCAGGTCCACTTCCCTTCCTGCAAGGCCAGCTGGGGGGAGTCTGGGGACAGGAAACCAATGATCCTTTATATTCTGGTTACATGCAGAACGAAGGACTCCTCCCTGAATCTCGGTCCTTCTACATCCCAGCCCAAGCCTGGCCCAGCTCCTCGTCCTCAGGCCAAGGGGGCCACTTCTCAGGGAGATAAAGAACCTCAGGAAGGGGGAAGCACCTACCTATGAGAGACACAGAACCAGCTGGCACCACCGTCTCCCTCATCTACTGAGCAGTAGCTCTTCGTTCAAACCCTCCCCTTGGGGATCAGCAGACACATTTGGAAACCGAGGCCCAGACAGGTGAGGCTACTTACCCAGGGTACATAGTGAGGTAGGTGGGCATAGCTGCTAGGTCCCAGGTCTCCATGCTCCAGGCTGGGTCGTTATTTTATCTCTGGAAAGGTTCACTGGGAGCGGGGGGAGTTAAACTGAGAGGTGTTGTGACAAAGCTGGTGGGGGAAGCCCATCAGCGAGGCTCCTGGAGTGGGGCAGATTCCTGCTCTACGTTCTCTCTGGGAGCCCTGTCGCCTGCAAGATCCACAGCTGACCTGAGAGCTCCCTGCAGAGTGCGCGCCCCGCGGTGAAGCCACCTAGATTCCTTATTCCGTGCACCCACAGCTTGGGCATGGCGTCTGGTCAAAACTTTCATTTGAGGCCCTCTTTGACAAAGAGCAGGGAGGGAGCACGTTGAGGTTCTTTCTCCTGGGAAGGGGCAGGCGGGAGAACAGAGGAGGATGTGCAGGGAGAAGGCCCCAGACCAAAGGAACAGAAAGCAAAGGCTCCAGTCAGTGCCCCCAGGGTTGTGGTCACCAGGCGGGGAGCTGAAACCCAAGCGGAAGAGAAGTGAGACAGGAGTCTGGCAAGGCCACAGGGCCAGTTCCTGAGGCCCTTGTGGTCTGGGGTGGGAAGTTTTGACAAAGCAGTGTGGAACCACATGTGTATATGAGTTTTAGAAAGGTCCCTCTGCATGGAAGACACAGGACACGACAAGTCAGGGCAGAGGAACCCACCGCAGTGGGCAGGGGCGGCCTGGGCAGACTGTGGCAGGTCCTAGTGCCTGCTGGGGAGCCCACCAGTCTCCCTATTTTGTTGACTGTACCCCTAAGGAACGACACAGGTGTCCAAGCAAAAATAGTTTATTTAAGGACGGAAGACCCAAAACTGGGGGGCCCAGGAGTGAGGCCACAGCAGCTGCCTGGAGTTGGCACAGACTGTCCCAACTCCCCGGAAGAAGCCCTTTCTCCGCTGCCCTCCCTGCTGGAGGGAGGACTGTGCAACCGTCAAGAATTACCACCATCACGGTCATCGTAACCCGCTGAAGTTGTCAAAGTTTGCCCAGCAAATTTTGGCATAGTAGTTGATATTAATGAAATGATTACCCCGACAGGCACAGCGACCGTGCCTGGTTTGGACCCACCATCCAGTGGTGGGTGGGGTCTGTGACAAGGTGAGGCAGGCAGGGAGGGAGACCCTGTTCCCGTCTCTCTTGGCCCCAGTAGCAGCTGCCTGCTCGCCACTGTTCCCACAGCCATTGGCCGAGGTCGGACTGGGGCTGTCTGAGGTGGGACTCACAAGCTTCCCCAGGTCTCAAAGTCCCTTGCCCGGCTGGTCTCTCTGCCACAGTCCCCGGCGGACTGCCCACGAGGCCACAAACTCGCAGTTGTGGTAAAGGAACATTCCTGAAAGGGTAAGTGCGATGCCCACGTAGCTGAGGGCACTGAGGTGGCTGCCAAACAGAAGCCGGGACAAGACAAGGTTGCCCACAACAGTGAGGTTGCCCAGGACATGCACAGTGAGAGCAGAGGTGAGCGCCAGCAAGGAGAAACTGGCCAGGTTATAGAGCACAGACAGGACGCAGCTGAGCAGCACACAGGTCCACAGGCGGGAGTCAGCGGGCGCGGGTGGCAGGGCCACACCAGCCTCCAGCACCAGGGTGGCGCCTGCCAGCAGGCAGAAGCTGGGCATAGAGGTAGCATACAGCAAGGTCACCGCATCCAGCCTCTCCTCCTGTAGCAGGGCACCTGCAGAGAGGACAGCAGCCATCAGAACTCAGCTGGGAGACAACCCTCACTTAGCCACCCAGTATGGCTCCAGGCCTGATCCTCCAGGAATCCCACCGGGACCCCCCTGGGGTAGGGTTAGCTGCTCTTTTATTTATTTATTTATTTATTTTTGGTACTGGGACTCGAACTCAGCACCTTGCGCTTGCCAGGCTGGCGCTTGTGCCACGGAGCTATATCCCCAGCCCAGCTGCTCTTGCTTAAAACATGACAGTGAAGAAGGAAGTCAAGAGCTGGGCGTGATGGTGCATGCTTTTAACCCCAGCATTTGGGCGGGCTGAGGTAGGAGGATTAGAGGCTAGTCGGAATTACACAGTAGGACCTTGTCTCAAAACACACACACACACACACACACACACACGGAGTCAGATCACTTAGGTTTATGACCTGTGTCCACTCCTGACCAGATGTGAGTGAGCTGAGCTCAAGGGGAGTACTTTACCTCTGCGATGCCTCTGCTTTTCCATTTGGAGACTTGGGTAAAAAGTAAAATCTAACGTGCAGTATCTAAGATTTAACAAAGATGACTTACGCACAGCCTTAATAAGGTAAGTGCTCAGTAAAACAGTAAATTAAAAAACAAGCCTGCTTACCTATGTTAAAAAAAAAAAAAAAAAAAAAAAGCCTAGCCAGGCGTGGTGGTACACACCTGCAATCCTAGCACTTGGGAGGCTACAGCAGGAGTATTTAAAGCCAGCCTAGGCTACATAGTAAAGTCAAGGCCAGACTGAACTTCATAGCAAGACCCTGTCTCAAAAATCAACAGGCCAGGCATGGTGGCACAAGCCTGTATCCCAGCACTTAGGAAGCTGAGGCAGGAGGATTGCTGTGAGTTCGAGACCAACCTGGGCTACAAAGTGAGCTCAAGGTCAGCCTGAACTGCAGAGGAAGACCCCATCTCAAAAAGACCAGAAAAAAAAGAAGCTTATTACCTCCCATTCCAAACCATTTCCCACAGGCTGAAAAAAGTGATGTGCTTGGGATAATCAAGTCATCAATAAACGTGAAAGGGGGGTGTGAAAAGAATTAAGATGTGTTACATACACGTACCAACTCCCATGATGAATGTTATCATTATGTACCAGACATGCACATTAAAAATAAAAATTTAAAATAATAAACGTGAAAAGTGGCTCAAAAAATGAAATACAATCTTTAGGGGACTCTCCAAGCCTTGGAGAAAACAGTCCTAGGTTCTGTTTTTTTTCTTTTTAGGCAGTGTCTGACTGTGTAGTTCAGGTTGGTCTTGAACTCACTAGCCCAGGCTGACCTTGCAGTGATTCTCCTGCCTCAGCCTCAAGTGCTGGGATTATAGGCATGTGCTGCTCCAACAGGCTTTGATCCACCTCTCTTAGCTTCAGCCCTTATCATACCTATCCGGATCCATTCTGTAGCTCTGGCTACCTAGGAGAGACAGGCCAGGAGAGGGTCCTAGCACTACCACTTACTAGCAGATGGTAAAAAGGAAGGTAAGGGGACAGGGAGGAAGAGTGTGAGGAGAAAGGGAGGAGGAAAGAAGAGGAGGAGAACTTCTATTTTCTTCTTGGTACCAGAGCCTTCACACTGAGCTACTTCCCCAGCCTTGACTGTATTTCCTCTTTTGAGACAGAATCTTGTTAAGCCACCTAGGCTGGATTCAAACTTGTGATCCTCCTACCTCAGCTCCCCAGAGTCCTGAAATTACAGGCATGTGCCACCACACCTGACTAAGAGGAGATTTTTATTTTTTTTAATTAATTAATTTATTTATTTTGGTCTTTTTGAGACAAGGTCTCGCTATGCAGTTCAGGCTGGCCTTGAGCTCACTCTGTAGCCCATGCTGGTCTCGAACTTGCAATGATCCTGCTGCCTCAGCCTCCCGAGTACTAGGATTACAGGCATGAGCTACCACCCCCGGCTAAGAAGAAATTTTTAAAATAAATTGTTTGGGCTGGGTGTGGTGGCACATACTTACAATCACAGCACTAGGGAGGCTGAGGCAGGATTGCCACGAGTTCAAGGTCAGCCTGAACTACATAGTGAGATACTATCTCAAATAAACAAGCATAACATAAAATTGGTTGACTCCAAATGGTGAGTCCTAAAAAAGAAAAAAAAAAAATGGTGGGTCCATTCATTGCTCCATTCACTTATGACCACTGGGATGACAAGGGCAGAACAAGAAAGCGCTTGCTGGCTCTTGGCTATCACTGACCGCTCATGACTGATCATCAGCACTGCTTGCTACCCGCACCGGAGCTTGTCGAGTTATATCCAGGCCTAAAAGGAAACCTTTAAGCTTTTCAAGGGAAGAGGGGATCCAGCCCCCGGGCACAGGTGTGACCACGTGCCATGTGCTGGTGTCTACAGAGCCTCCACCCGGCCACTTTGCAAAGGAAATGGAACCACGATCAGCATCAGACAGCCCGGGTACCAGAAAGGTATTCCCACAAAGGCTGCAATGGTTTCCACATGTTAGAGGAGAGAGATGAGTAATCGATACAGGTCCCCACCCAGACAGCCTCTGTGTTTACTGACACACACTTTCCAAAGGGCAAGAGGTGCTTAGTCATCAGCTATGCTTAGAACAGGAAACTTTAGTCTTTTCTGGATTTCATTCTGATGTTTGGGCTTTGTTCTCCAGGCAACGGGCCCTCCAGTTCAAGCTTCTCTAGAAAAGAACGGATAGTCGGAATGCCTCCTTTTCTAAATCTGATACTCTTACATTGCCTACAGTTCTAACACGGGAAGGCTTTTGGTTTGTGGGTGAACTTTACCTTTGGTAAATCTCACCTTCCCAGGGAGCCCAATCTGACATCCCATCTAGCCTCTTGCACATCTGTCCCGCATCCCACCTGACCCCTCAGCTCCCCTCCCTGCAGCCCAGGGAAAGGGCTGTGATTCCATCGGAAGTGATTCATTCCCGAACTGTCAAACCGTTCTTTCTGCCTCTTTAGTGACCCCTCCCTTGCCAGCCTCCAAACCTTCCAATTTTAATTTCTGCTTCTCCAAAGGCATTTGTTGTTGCTGTTGAGACAGGGTCTCACTGTGTAGTGCAGGCTGGCCTTGAGCTTACTATGTAGCCCATGCTGGCCTCAAATTTGAGGCACTCCTCCTGCCTCTGCCTCTCAAGTGCTGGGATTACAGGAGTGCACCTCCATGCCCAGCTCCAAAGGTATTTTTCTTTTAGCACTGAACACTGCCAAGCACTGCCACACAAGCTGACCTTTTCTAAGCCCCGGCCACTTGGTGTTGGCTTGTTCCCTCTTTACCCTTCCCTTGGCTTGTGTGATCCAGTCACCCTTTCTTTGTGTCTCAGTCTCATGTGTAGCATAAGGGAGGGTGACGACATCCTTCTCACATGAGCACGTGAGGCGCTCAACAGCACCGACGCCTGGTGCCCTGCTCGCCACGGCAGCTGACCCGCTCTCCCCTGCTCTGCCCCTGCTGGCTGGCACCCAGTGCCCTGGCACAGTGTACTGCCCATTCTTTGCTGCTGTGTATGAAGAGCTGGGCAGTGTAGCACCTAGCAAAGGCTCAGCAAGTGCACTGTCATGATTATATTACTGTCATTATCATCGTCACAGGCCTCCTCCCCTAGGCAGCCTTCTCTGATCTCCCTAGGAAGCCCCACCACCACCACACCTGCATGCACCTTGGCTCCAGAACTTCCCTCCTGCCAAATGCGCCTCCCCAACCAGCCCAAGAAATCAGGGATTGAATCAGGCTGCTCTGTGACACAGGCGGGTACAGTTGAGAGCAAGCTCAGGAGGGTGGGACACCATCCCCAGCTTTTCTATGAATAGGAGGATGGCCTCACCTCTCTCCTTATGCCACCCTGCTGGATCTGCAACTGGCCCAGGTTGGAGGGAAACTGCCGGCCCCGCCCACAGATGCCTGATTTCTTCTCTTCCCGCACCCTTATCCCCTGCTCACCTGGTGTCTGCTCTCAGTAGAGGAGCTGCCATCAGCCATTTACACTCTAGTCCGAATCTGACCTGGAGCCTAGGCCAAAACAAATCTCCTTTTCAAAACCCATCTTATTCAGTTCATTCCTCCCCACCTCAGCCAGGCTGCCTTCACTGTTAGTGGGACCTCCCATTTCCTAAGCTCCCTCCTTAGTGCTCTGAGCCATGTGGAATAACTAGCCTACCAACAAGGGCCGTCGATAAATTCATCCTCTAAGGAGTAGCTGCCTTGTGTTAGGTCCCAGGTCAAATCCTGGGGGCACAGAGATGCCCCAGGACCTTAGCAGGTGCAAGGTGGCCCCAGAGGTGGGAACCTTCTCAGCCTCATATCCCTGCCCAGGAGGGCCCCACTGGGTCAGGTTTCCTGGCGCAGACTCATGCCAGAGCTCATGCCTGAGCTCAGGGCTCCAGCTCATGTAACCCGAGGGCAAAAATAGAACTGGGTTTTGGCCCTGCCTCAAGTCCCAGGAAGGTAGGGACAAGACCTCTGGGTCCAGGCTCTGAAGACATCAGGAAAGGGCTGAGCTCTGGCTTCAACATGCCCTCATTTCAGGCTGCCCCCAAGTCTAGCCATGAACCTTGGAGAGTGCCCCCTTCCCTTTTTCCCAGGCCTGAGTCACAGGTCTCACAGCTGGGATACGAGGTGGGGGTGCAAATACAAGTCTCCTTGGACTCCATCAACTGACCTTCCAATCCTAAACAGGAGGGCAGACTGAGGCACAGAGCAGGTCTCGTCCTGCCCAAGGTCACCCAGCAAGTATGAGCAAAGGTATGGCTGGAACCCAAGCCTCCCTTCCTCTCCTGGGTCTCCCTTGGGTTGAAGCAGAGAAAGGATGGGGGCTGGAACTCAGCTACCCCCTCATAGAAAAGACAGGAAACCAGCTTCCATCCTCAGGCAGGCTGACCTAGCAGGGTCTAGGCCTGGAGCTGTGGCCCTACCTGCTGCTCAGAGCCGCACTGTCAGCTGTCATTAGAGCCAGAGTTCAGAGTCCCACATACTAGACTGGGGCTGGGGATTTAGCTCAGCGGCACAGTGCCTGCCTGGCAAGCACAACGTTGTGAGTTCGATTCCCGGTACCGGGTAGGGGGGGGGGGGGGGGGGGGAAAAAAAAAAAAAAAAAAAACAGAGTCCCACATACTAGACTTCAAGTCCTTGGGAGCCATGGGATCCTGTGCCAGTCACAAATCTCTCTGGGTCTCAGTCCCATCAGCTGGAAGTGGGCATAGGTGGTGGTTGCTATGACAACTGAAGATCAATATCCAGCACTAGGCCTGCCACGCTGTAACTCCCAGCAAACAGCACTTCCCATATTCTGCCAATCCTTGCCTTCCACATCCCAGCTGCCAATGACAGCTTACTCTCTTTCTCTTTCTCCGGTCCATGTTTTCTGGCCTCCATCTGAGTTCGCAGCCTTACACCACATCTCTGGGACAGCACGGACTCCGAGTGGTGGCATTCAAACCTTTCCACTGCTGCTCACTAACACGTGGCCCTAAGCAAGCCCTCCCACCTCTCTACAAAGAGTACCTACCACTGCTCACGGGCTGTACTGGCATCCAGGGGGATAAAAGATTGATAAGGCATGGAAAACAGGTCACTGGCAACTATTATTAAAGACTAGCCGGGCGTGATGGCACACACCTGTAATCCTGGCACTCGGCACTCAGGAGGCTGAGGCAGGAGGATCGTTGGGAGTTGGAGACCAGCCTGTGCTATAAAGTGAGCTCAAGGCCAGCCTGAACTGCATAAGCGAGACCCTGACTCAAAACAACCAAAAAAAAAAAAAAAAAGGACAAAAAATAAATAAAAAGACTGGCCAGGCCTCCAGAGAGGCCTGGGGCCTAAGTCTGGGGAGTAAATGGAAATCACTGAGCTCCTGGCCCTCGATGAGCCTCAGTTTCCTCATCTGTAATATGAGACAACAGCCACACCCCTCACAGGGTCCTCCAGGCCCACCACCCACCCCAGGTTGCACCTCCTTAGAAGGAGGATACTCACTCTGCTGAATGGACTTGAGGCCTCGAAGGCAGGTGGCCACCAGCAAGAAGCCACAGCCGGCAGAGGGTGCCCGGAGCTCTCCGGCCAGGCTGCAGGCAGCCCCCAGGCAGAGAGGGCCCATGGCAGCAAACTGCAGCGGGTGGTGGCGCCGGCCAAGCAGCAGCGCAGACAGGGCCAGTGTGAACAGTGGAGTGGTGGTAGTGGCCAACTGCGCCAGGTCCAAGGGCACAGTGCTTAGGCCCACGTTGCCGCAGGCCATGGAGGTGCCGAAGGTGAGGCTGAGCAGCAGCACCTGGCGGTGGGTGCTCTGCGGCACGGGGCGCCGTGCCCCCCAGTGGCACGCCAGAGCTGCCGCCAGCATGTGTAGTGCCGAGAGCAGCAGGGGCCGACCAAAGCCGTGCACCATGAAGATCCACTTGTTAAGGCTTGACATGCTGGCCCCTGCCAGCAGCCACACCAGCGCCGCCACAGCCACCCGGGCCCTGCCAGGGCGCCTGAGGACCTGGGGGCTGCTAGGGGACCACTCAGGGGGTCCAGCCACCCGAGCACTTCCAGTCACTGCTTCTGCTTCGGCTGAGGTCATCCTGCCTTCATGGTGCTCCGGAGGACAGCGGCACATCCGCACCAGTGGGGCTGGAGCAGGAGGCAGCCTCCCCAGCGACCAGCTCCAGGCCACCAGAGATCCCAGCTTTGGGCTCGGCCAGATACTGTGTCTTGGGCCCTGGGCCAGTCTCAGGTGAGGGCACGGAGGTTCTTCCAGGCTTTGGCCAGCGGAGGTCTGGAGATCTGGTGTCTCAGAACGGGCAGAGCCGAGACCGTGGCCGCTGGCTGGGAACGCTGGTGTCCAAGCCTGGCCTAGGAAGCTCCGTACACCGCTTCCCGGGGCCAGGTGAGGTCTCCGCTCTCCTCCTCGCCCAGCGTCCACGCTGTGCTGTTCGGTGGAATCCTTTTTCCTTTTTTCCTCTTCCGTCCCCAGGCCGTGAGGGTGGAGATCTTGATTCCCGGTCCTCCTGCGTGCTCAGGCGGTGAGCAGGCCCGGCAGACACGATGAGGGCTCCGCGCCTGGTGGTACCCGGGAAGTGGCGGCTCGCTGCCTCCGACAGCGGCGGGGAGACGGGCTGACACGCGGGCCCCCGCGCGCTGCTCCGATCCGTGCCAGGAGCCGAGCTCGGCTTGGCTCCCCCACGGCCTGCGCTCCGGCCGGGATGTGCCTCCAGGCTGCTCCACCGAGGCTGTGGCTCCAGGCTCCCGCCCGGCTTAAAGCCCAGCCCAGCCCAGTCCAGCGGGGCGCTCTCAGCCCACCCTCTTCCGCGCCGGCACGGGTAAAGCAGGGCTGAGACCCCAGCGACGCCCCGGCCAGGCCCCGCCCGGGAACCCGGACAGTCTCGCCCCGCCTCCAGGCAGCGCTCGGAGCCCCGCCCCCATCGGCCGGGCAGCCCGCTTGGCTCCTCCTCCCGCCTCGGCTGTCCGCAGTTTAGAGACCCCTGGCTGGAGCTGTCACCCTAGCCTGTCTGCCCCCGCCTCGGCTGAAGACTAGGGCCCTCTCTCTCCAGCGTTCCCCACGGAGACCCCACACAGTGCTGGAGACACCGGAGTATCCCGCAGAGCCGTCTTCATGGAATAGGGCATTGAAGAGGGACCCACAGGCTACATCCTAGGACAAGTTCCAGGCTCGACTGATCCCCGGCCAGCTGTCTTGTGTGATCTCGACAGCCAGCAGAGCTGGACCACGGGGTCCCTTACGGTCTTTCCATCGCCCCTTCTACCCCAGCATCCGCCTTCCTCCCAGCCCAGGGCGGTGCCCCATCTGGGGCAGCAGAAGGAAGCTGAATCACCAGGGCTACCCGCAGCTGCGGAACCAGGGTACCGCCGGCTGGCATCCATCCCTGGCCAGCAGTCCCCGTCCCATCCCTGGGCACTCAGAGTCGACAAGCAGCTGGACTTCTGGGGTCCACCCTTTCCCGCAGCCCTGCTGAGACAAAGCCCAGCGCTGGGAGGCAAAGCAGCTTTTCAAGTCTTTGCCCTTAATTGGAATTCCGTTTTCCTCAGAATCGACCGACAGACACTGAGTTCGGAGTTGGGTAAATAGTGCCCCTAGAGGTTGACCCAGATTCCAGGCCTGGCCCTGGCCTCTCTGAGCTCTGGAGTCCAGGTGAACAAGGACCAGGGCCCCAGCAGGAGCCCAGTGCTGGCTGCGAGCCTCTCTTTGAGCCACCGCGCTTCCTGCGCCTGGGGAAGCTCCACCCCACCTGGACACAGCTCAACCTTCGCCGGCTGGCGGTCCAGCAAGTCCTTGATGACCTCAACCTGTCTGCAGGAACTAGACCGTAAAGGAGAGCCGCCAAGCCCGGCCTGCTGCGCCCTCTGGTGGCCAGACTTCCGAATGCCTGAGAACGGCGGCTCCCTAATCCCTTCAACAGCCTTTAGACACTCAAGGGGCGGGGGAGGGCCGAGCCTCAAGGTACACCTAAGGAGCCAGACCTCTCTGGTGGGGCTGGGCCCACGAATCTGCACTGTCTCATTTGCCTCGGATGATCCTGCCGTCAGCTGGAGCCGGCAGGTTACCGAACAGCCCAAACCGCAGGGCAGGGAGTGCCGATAAAGGGATTTCCAGGCTGAGGAGCAAAGTAGGGGGGCATTAAACAGGACTTCTCCCGCAAGAATTCTGAGGGCAACTGAGCCAGCCAAGAGAGAAGCTCCTACCGCCTCTGCTATTTCTTGAGTACGAAGAATCTGGGTTCCTTATGGGCTATATTGATTTTGGGATTTTTCTGTTTTCTTAGTGTCTCCTGCAATAAAAATAATATTTTAAAAACAAGCCATAATGCACTTCTGCAATCTCAGCACTCAGGAGGTTGAGACAGGAGGATCGCAAGTTTGAGGCCAGCCTGAGTTACATAAGGTGACCTTGCCTCAATCCACGCCCCCTCAACACAAAACAAAACAACAATAAAAACACCCTGACCTCTTCAGAGCCGAGCTGGCAGGGGTGCTGGGCGGTGAGACTCTGCCGACGTCCAAAACCACCACAACCCAGGGCGTGGTGGCATACATTTATAATCCCAGCACTGAGCTGGGCTACATAGTGAGTTCAAGGCCTGCCTGAACCGCACAGCAAGACCCTGACCCAAACAAAACAAAACAAAACAAAACAAAACAAAACACCACCACAAAGTGGTTCCCACCTGCTCTGCTAGTGAAAAGTGGCTCTGAGGAAAGCAGATTAATAAAGCTGGGGGGGGTGGTCTTTGATGGAATGAAGAGGGCTGCACAGCCCCGGGGTGGGCAAATCTGAGGATAGAGCCCGAAGATGACCAGCAGCGGCCACACCCCATGGAAACCCAGCAGGGCAGAGGTTGCCAGGGCTGGAGGGTTTCATCTCATCTGCTCCTCAGTTATCTGGAGGCAGCGGTGGGAATGACTCCCTCACAGACCGAGGGCTTGGCCAAAGGAAGAAAGCCTGGCACCTAGGAGCACTCTGTTTGGGGGAATGATGGGGTCCAACTTCATGGAGGGCGGAGGGGGCTCCTTCACTGTCCTTGGAGTCAATCTGTTTTTTGATTTTTGTGTTTTTTTGGTCTTTTTGAGACAGGGTCTCACTATGCAGTTCAGGCTGGCCTTGAGCTCACTTTGTAGCCCAGGCTGGTCTTGAACTCGCAACAGTCCTTCTGCCTCAGCCTCCCGAGGGCTGGGATTACAGGTGTGTTCCACCACGCCCGGCCTTGGAGTCAATTTGAAAGCTCAGAGCAGACTGAACTTACTCACAACTGCCCAAATCCCTCAAATCTGAGCCTTTTAAGGGGCCCATGGTGGTGCTATGGGAAGCAGGTGACATGGAGAGGAACTTTGGGGGGTGTCAGGAAGGAAGAAAGAGTTCGCCTCTAGCAACTGGGCCCCAGGAACTGTGGGGCGGACCTCTCTTCTTATTTCAGCATCACCCTGGCCTCAGTTTCTCATGTATGATCTATGACACGATCATAGGCGTGAACATGCTGTAAACCAAGACCTCCCACAGCTGGGAGTTAGCAAGCAGGCTCAGGAGAAGTGCTCAGGCTCCGGTTATTCTGGAGCCATTCAGGTCTAAATGCTATGGTGTTATATCTAGATGTCCCCTCAAAGCCTCATGCGCTCATGGTTGGGCTTTAGGAGGGGACTGAATCATGCGGGGTGCGACACTCATGGGTGGGTTAGTTCTGTGCTGAGTTTATAGGTAAACGTGACGTTGGGAGTTGAAGTCTGGTCATAGGAGGTGGGTCATGGGGGCGTGGCCTGGAAGGGTTTATCTCCCTTCCTCCTCCCTTGATCTCTCTGTTTCCCACCCCCAGGACATAGACTGTCCCTTCCCTGCGATGCCTCTGTGCCATGTCACCCTGCCATGCAGCCAGCTGACTATGGACTGAAAGTTCTACAAACAGAGCTGAAATAAACCTTTCCTCCTTTAATCTGTAAGGGCCGGGGATATGGCTCAGTGGTACAGTGCCTGCCTGGCAAGCATGAGGTCATGAGTTCGATTCCTGGTACCAAAAAATAAAAAATAAATAAATATCTTCTCCTTTAATCTATGGGTGACAGGTACTATGTCCCAGCAATGGGAAAGTGGCTAAGACAGCAGGCTAGATGCAGCGTGGTCCCTAGACCTGGAGGGATATCCCCTCGGACTCTTAATGGTGACTGTCCTCTCATCCCTGGCTTCCTTGGGTTCCTGCTAATTGTGCCAGACTAGATAATTAACCCAGTGGCCCAGTGGGTTAGGGATACAGACTCAGAAGGTAAAAAGGAGCTCAGAGCTTGAACTGTACGTTGGCAGTGTCCTGGCTAGGAGCTGGACATGGTGGTGCACACTTATAATCCCAGCACTCTGGGAGGCTGAGGCAGGAAGATCCCAAATTCAAGCCTAGTCTGGGCAACTTAGTGAGACTCAATCTCAGTAAAAAATTTTAAAAAGCTGGGGATGTAGCTCAGTGGAAGAGCACCCCTAGGTTCAATCACTAGCACCAGAAAACAGAATACAAAAAGAAAAGTCTTGGCTGGGTGTGCACCCAGAGGAACGGCAGAAGTAGAAAAGAGCTGAGGGTAGTGGAGGTGAGGGAGATCCGACCCTCAGCCTCCAGCTTCCTAGCACTCTTGGCTGTTCCTGAGTGGGTGGGCTGGGTCTTCCCAGCAAGGACTCTGATTTGAGCAGGATTCAGTAGCTTCCTGCTCAGAGCAGACACACCCCAACTAAGACAGTCCTTCCTGGAGAGAGGTGGAAACCCAGCTCCCGGACCCTTCAGCTTTCCTTCAGCCTGGCACAGCCAGTCTCCTGAACGGGAGGGCCCTGTCATAAGGCGCAAAGGGGAGGGGCAGAGGCACAGCCTCAAGCGTCCAACCCTGGAACCAATAGTTGAGGAGCTCAGCTCCTTTGCCTACAGGCTGTGTGACCTGGGGCAAGCTGGTGACCTCTCTGAGTCTCCATCCCTCTGTGACAGGGATGTTGCAGAGAGTCAGGGCGGGTCCTGACCCCTCCCCACCACGATTAGGGAGTGCAAGTGAACAAGCACTCCAGGGTTCTGATTAAGGCATCTCACCTTAAAGACGGCCAGTTTCCCCTGGAGTTCCTGCGACTCTCCCATTTGTTCCAGCATGGAAGAATGTTCTCCATCACTTTCTTCCCTCACTACCCGACCCTAGGTATTTGAAGTTAGTGCTCTAGGAAGAAGCACATATTTAATCTGCAGCTTCCAGTACTCTGAGTATGTCACTTCTCAGGCAGACCTGACACACTGTCCATCAAAAGACACACCTTGGGGCCGGGCGTGGTGGCGTACACCTGTAATCCCAGCACTCAGGAGGCTGAGGTAGGAGGATCTTTGCGAGTTCGAGAGCAGCCTGGGCTACAAAGGGAGCTCAAGGGCAGCTGAACTGCATAGCGAGACCATCTCAAACAGACAAAAAAAAAAAAAAAGATGCCTCTCCCCAACCTTGGTGGAGGAAGGCACGGGGATGGGTCCCTGGGCTGAACCCCAACCCCCAGAATGAAACCTAGAGCCTCGGCCGCCCACTGAGAGGTGGGGTCCCTGGCTGCAGAGGCCGGGGGTGGTCCCCTGAGGGAGCCTTGGCTAAAAGCAGGGAGGGACCCTGGCCTCTAGTTGAACTGGGGATCTACTGTGCAATCAGCAACCACTGAAGTTCCCAGTTTTCAGTTTCTGAGTAGAGGAGCCAGGCGGCTTCCCCAACTCATGCTTGTGGTTTCTTTTTTTCTCTCCTCCCCTCCCTCCTCCTTTTCTTTTTCTTTTCTTTCTGTCTTTCTTTCTTTCTCTCAAGTGTGTGGGAGGTACTGGGGATTGAACCCAGGGCCTTTACATCTCCAACCCTTTCAATTACTTTTTTATTTGGAGACAGGATCAAACTAAGTCACTAAATTGCCCAGGCTAGGATTGAATTTACAATCCTTCTGCCTCTGCTTCCCAGATTACTGATGTGCACCACCACTTCTGGCTTTGTGTTTGTTTCTTGGAGCCAGGGTCCTGCCACATTGCCCAGGCTGACCTCGAACCCTGGACTCAAGCATTCTCCTGCCTCAGCCTCTCCACGGGAGACATCACGCCCAGCTCAGGCTCATAGGCATGTCTCCTGAGCCACGCCCCCTTCCTTCTACTGCCTAGTCTGTGACTTGAGTGAATTGCTTTCCCTTTTGCAGCACTAACTTCTTTATCTGTAATTCAGAGATGAGAATAAAAATCATAACAACCCACAGAGTTGTGCCAGCAGCGTCTAGCAAGTAGGTGCTCAGTAAATGGGAGTCAGGGCTGCCACAGCCAGCATCCGCCCCCCTCGGTACCAAGGTGAGTGCTCTCCCGTGCTCCCCTCCTCCCCCGGGGGCACCTGCCCTTCTCTGCCACCTGCTTGCTGAGGTGTGAGGCACCAGGAGGCTGCAGCACATGCTCAGACAATCAAGACTTTAATCATCTCAGAGGCGGGCATCAAGCAACCCTGCTGAGGCCTCACCGGCCACTGTACCACGACCAGCTCTAGGGCCACCACCCTGACAACAGAGTGGAGACCTGGGGTCAGGGCCGCAGCCCCGGGGGCACGGAGGCCTCCTTTCAGGACCCCAGTCCCAGAGCAGTGGTACTCACAGTGCTGCGGCTGAGGGACTTGCCCTCGTCCTGCCGAGGAGTCCGAGAGCCACAGGTCCTTCAGCCTGTGGGGCAGACCTGCGGGGCCAGGCTCCCCAGGCAGGTGCTTGGCTCCCTGCTCCAATGGGAGCTGTGGCTTAGATCCCCGCAGAGGTGGTAGGTGACATTGTTCCAAATTCACAGGAGGTGGCTGCAGGTTCAGGAAGGACAAAAGCCTGGGGAGTGTGCGAGGCTGTTGGGGTGAGAGAGCCCGGGGCTACCAGCTAACCAGTCTAAGCTTGATGGTTTCTCCATCCCGTGGTCTGTAGTCAGCAATACCTGCAGAAATACATGGAGTATAGGGGATTAACAGGGTAGCGTCCTGGGCCCCCACCCTGAAGCCAGGGTCTGTAAGATGTGTTCAGGGCTTGGTGGTAGGAAGGTGGGAACTGTCCGAAGCCATTTGGGAGCCTCTGAACCAATTTTTTTCTTTCTTTTCTTTCTTTTTTTTTTTTTTTGTTTTTTTAGGCAGGGTCTCTCTATGCAGTTCAGACTGGCCTTGAGCTCACTTTATAGCCCAGGCTGGTCTCAGACTCTCAACAATCCTCCTGCCTCAGCCTCCCTAGTGTGCCACCATGCCTGGCCTTGAACCAGTTTTCAAAGCCTCATTTTGCAGTGCAGAGTTCAAAGAGAATGGGGCACCAGACTGTACAGTGGATAACAAGCACAGGGCAAAAGGAACCAGGGCCCCTGACAATGCTTAACGGGTAGGGACTGTCTCTATTGTCTTCATAACACCTCAAGGGCCATCAGGAAGAGGGACTTGCTCAGTGTGGCCTGGCTCAGGGAAGGCCAGGACCACAGATGAAGCCTCCTTCTGTGCTCTAGAGGACCCAGACTCCAGTAAGGCAGCTGAGCTCAAGCCCCAGCCCTGTCACTCACTAGACTTGTGAGCAGGTTGTTTAACCTCTGCGTGCTGGTGTTCCCGCTAGTGAAATGGGAGGGATAACATAGCTGACAGGGGGGCTGGGTATGGAGCTCAGTGGTGCTTGCCAAGAATGCATGAGCCCCGGATTCTATCCCAGCATGGAAAGAAATCAGAAACAATGCCCACAACCCACGGGGGAGCTGGAAGGCTCCTCTGAGAACTCAGGTGCTAAGGAGGTTTCGTTTTCATGGACATGGCATGATCCGAGCGCCACGTTCCCTCACAAAATTCATATGTTGAAACCTAAGCCCCAAGGGGGAAGTATTAGAAGTGGGGTCCTTGTGAGCTATTCAGGTCATGAAGGTGGAAACTTCCAGAACTGGATCACAGTATTTATTTACTTATTCACTTATCTATTTAGAGACAGGTTTCACTATGTAGTTCAGGCTGGCCTCAGCATCCTGAATGCTGGGACTACAGGAGTGTGCCACCATGCCTGGCAAATTTACTTAAGTTTTTAAAATATCAGCCAGGTGTAGAGGTGCATGCCTATAATCCTAGAATTTTGGAGGCAGAGGCAGGAGGATGGCAAGTTTGAGCCTAGCCTGGGCAATTTAAGGACTTAGCAAGATTCTGATGGCCCTGGATTCAATCTCTAGTACTGAAGAGACAGAGAAAAGAGAGAGAGAAAGAGAGAGACAGAGAGAGAGAGACAGAGAGGTCTGAAGAAGTGAGTGGGATTGCCTGTGAAGAAGGGGGAAGGGAGATCAGAGCAGAGGAGAGCAGGAGGGAAGGCAAGCTGGGAGGGGCGAGTCGGCAAAGCCTCATCGCTGGTCTGCTAGGAATAGGGATGGGTGGCAGCCCCAGACTCACCTTGCAGCAGAGGGGTGTCAGGGGCCTGGAGGAGCTGCCAGAACTCTCGGTCCCCAGCCACTTTCCCCATCACAGAGGTCAGGAAGGGACCAGACAAGGAGGCCCGGGTTCCAAACCTAGAAAGGGGGAGGGTGACGAGAGGTGACTGTCATCCCCAAGCGAAGAAGTGGGGTTCACCCACACCAGCACAATAATCTTGCTTTGGCCTTCGGGGCCAGCATCAACCAAGCCCCTCCCGGGAGATCTCACTATAGATGCATGGGTCTTCCCGCCACCCCGTCCTCTCCAGCCCCACTGGCATTACCCACTCAGGTGTCATCCTCTGTTGACCATGGCATGGCCTCCAGGAAGAAACACCTATTACCTTTTCAATTCAGCAGTGGCCCCCTCTCTGGGGGATGTTTTGGGGGGATGAGCAGCAGAAGCCACGGGCATCTTATAGAAGCCAGTGTGCAGTAAGAGAGAGGGACACCAGTCCACAGAGACACAGGGACACAGGGGACCGCGGCAGAGACACCAGTGGCAGCAGTGGGTCTCTTGTTCTGGAAGTTTCTGTGGCTCAGGGGCATTCCCTTCTTGGGGCTAGGTTGCTCAGCCTGCTCTGATTCTATATACTCCGCACTCCCCACTGCTGGAGACATCCCAGCGCTTTGGGAGACTGAGGCAGGAGGATTGTGAATTGAAGCCCAGCCTGGGCTACTTCATGACTTAGTAAGACCCTGACTCAAAATAAAAAAATTAAAATTGGGTTGGAGATGTAGCTCAGCTCCAACCCCTTCCCTCCCCCAAAACCAACCAAACCAACCAACGCAGAAGCTCACTTGGAAGGACTGTATTTGCCCATTGCCTTAGTAACCCCAAGTGGGTTTCTGGGTTTGTTTGTTTGTTTGTTTAGAGGGGAGCGGGTTGATCCTGGGGATTAAATCTTTTGTTCCAGGACCCTCCTCCTCCTCCTCCATGGATACCAAAACCCACAGATGCTCAAGCGCCTTATACAAAATGGCCTCGTACTTGCATAAACCCTATGCAAATTATCTCATACACTTCAAATCAGCCCTGAAACGCTATGTAAATGGTTGCTACAGGGTATTGCTTAGGGAACAAGGACAAGAAGAAAGTCTATACATGTTCAGTACAGACACAACTTTTTCTCCAATATTTTCAGTGTGAGGTTGACTGGCTCTGAGGATGTGGAACGTGCAGGTGTGGAGGGTCTGTATTGTTTCAAGGAATTCCGCGAGCAGCCCCTGTCTCTGCTCCTTGAATTCTGCCAGGCCACGTGGCCGCTCTGGACCACCTCCTCACCTCTGTCTGTCTGTCTCCACAGTGCAGCTTTCTTTCCTGGGTATTCCCATCCCTCCCACGCGGCTCCTGAATCAGTTGCCCTACAACTCTGCACTACAAGAGAACGGTTTCTCTGGTGGGCGTATGTGAGGGCTTCTCGGGGGTTCTCAAAGCTCTGAATAAAGAATGTGAGACTGTATTTGTGGTTCCTTTTGTTTTGTTTTTTTTTTTTTTGGTTTTTCTCCGGTACCGGGAACCGAACTCACGACCTTGCGTTTGCCAGGCAGGCGCTTTGCCGCTAAGCTAAATCCCCAGCCCCGTGGTTGCTTTTAATGACAATATCCAAACACAAGTACTGGTAGGTTCTGGGTAATTTCCACGTCTGCTGGACTGAGCCGAGCCAAGGTGCTCAGCATGTGTGCCTAGCTGCCAGTCACTGAGCTGGCCCCCAGCATCGCCACTGCACTGCAAGAAGAGCCCGGGAGTGGGCCTGGCAGTCAACCAGGTTTGGCCAGGGAGGCGCCTAGGGCACTGCGGCAGGCAGCTGTATAGTGGTGGCTCCTGCATAAGGAAGGGGAGATCACCGGGCCTGGCAGTGCAAACCTAAACTCCTGCTGATGGCCCTTCTCTAAATATTAATGGTTTTTCTACTTTTCTTTCGGTTTAGTTTGCAAAGTTGTTTAGGATTTATAGCTGGCTAGAGGAAGAAAGAGAAAAGACTTGATATTTAGTAAACCTATTAATGGACATCCAAGTCATTTTAGAGAAGAAGTCATTTAGCGTAGGGCCTGGGAGAATTTATTTTGGGTTTTTTGAGACCGGGTCTCACTATGTAGCCCAGGCTGGCTTCGAACTCATGGTGACCCTCTTGCCTCAGCTTCCCAGAGGGCTGGGATTACAGGCATGCGCCACCACGCTCCGCCTTTGGAGGTGCCTTCACCTTTCTCTGGTTTGAGAATCCTTGGCCCAGGTGCCTCCTTGGCTGCAGGATGCTTTTTTGTTTGTTTGTTTATTTTTGTCATTTGGGAGACAGGGTCTCACTATGCAGTTCAGGCTGGCCTTGAGCTCACTGTGTAGCCCAGGCTGGTCTCAAACTCGCAACAATCCTCCTGCCTCAGCCTCCCGAGTGCTGGGATTACAGGTGTGCGCCACCACACCCTGCACATGCAGGATGCTTTTTGCAGCAATTCTGGTTGGGACAGAAACTGGGGTCCTCTCTGTCTAGAGAAATCAAGGGAAGAGGTGATCTGGTGGAGTCAAGAGTCTTCCCGGTGACCTGGGTGGGAATCACTTTCATCCTACTTAGGTTTGGTGACCTAGACAGGCTCTTTCTCAGACTTGTCAAATCTCATGGTGAGAAGCAAGTCTGTTTGTTTCTGGTTCAGGGAGTAAACCCACAGCCTTGGCACTGAGCTACATTCCCAGCCCTTTTTTAGTTTTTATTTTGAGTCAGGATCTTGTAGGGGTTTTGTTTGTTTGTTTGTGGTTTTTTTGCTATGCAGTTCAGGCTGGCCTTGAACTCACTATGGAGCCCAGGCTGGCCTCAAACTCACAATGATCCTCCTGCCTCAGCCTCCAGAGTGCCGGGATTACAGGCATGCCCTACTATGCCTGGCCTGAGTCAGGGTCTTACTAAAATGCCCAGATTGGGCTTGAATTTGTTATCTTTCTGCCACAGCCTCCCAGAAAACTAGGATTACAAGCATTTGCCACAATACCTGGCTAAGATGATTTGATACTAAAAATTCTTTTTTTTTTAAGACAGGGTCTCACTGTGAATTCAGGCTGGCCTTGAACTCACTATGTAGCCCAGGCTGGCCTAGAACTCTTGGCAATCCTCCTGCCTCAGTCTCCTGAATGCTGGGATTTTAAAATTCTTATGCTTATGAAAGCTGATGTGTATTGAGTGCTTAGTACATGCTGGACCCTGCACATACAAAAGGCATTGCCAGGATCTCTAAGTGCACTAATTCCTGGACTCCTCACATCGGCCCTGTGAGGAAGGGAGCACAGCTGATATCCTCACTGAGTCTGGGAACCCTCGCTGGAGAGCACAGCAGCCGGTTCCAGTGCAGGGGCTCTGCCTCTGCAACCTGCCCTCTTACTGACAGTGCCGACCCACGGCTCCCGTTTCCATGACAGCAAGCATGAGAAAGGAGTGCAGAAGGGGGAAGCAGTGCCGCTACTAAGGGAATCCTCTTTGTCCTCTGTCCCCTGTCCTTTCTATGGCCCCATTTCAGGTACGTGGGGTTGACGGGGGTTGGGCTGGGAGGCAGGGGGGTCTCACGTGAATCCTCCTAGCTCCTGGGCCTTCTTCAGAACGTCTTCCAAGGAGGACCCAGCCACTACCGAGATGGCTCGTTTGTAGGGTGGCAAGACGCTGGAGACCTCCAGCACGACACTGATGACCTCTGGGATGTGGATCAAGGAGGCGTCCTCAGGAGCTGCTACCAACAGCCCTGTGCCGGGGAGAAAGGAAGGGGCAGCTGGAGTGAGGACAGGGAGCCCGGATGTGAGCCTTCTTTTCCTCCCTTGAAGATGCTGCTGCCCGCCTGGACCACGTCCTTCCCCACGTCCTCAGCTCAGTCAGTGCCATGACCATCTGCTCGGCTGAAGCCTGGCTGTCAGCTCAGCTTTCCTTGTCCCTCGGCCTCCACCTCCCAAGGCCAGGTTCCTCGCTCTTTTCTCTGCTTCTGGAATCTCCCTCCCACATACCTGCCACACTACACCCCAGAGGACTCCCTCAAGAACATACATTTCTTCCTGTCCCTCCCCTATCACCTCTAATGGTCTTGCCCCGCCCCGCCCCTCCTCTCCTCTCCTCTCCTCTCCTTTCTTTTCTTTTTCTGCAGTGCTGTGGACCAAACTCAGGGCCCTGACCACGCTAGGCAAGTGCTCTATCTCTGAGCTGTGCCCCCAGCCTTCAGTTCTCTGTCATTCTTCTGCCTGCCACTCCTGCTCACTCCCGCACAGACCTTACTTTCTTGCAAAATGTTCTCCCAAAGTCTTTACCTCTCTGTGCCTTTGAT